ATTTGACAGTTGCTGGCACTTGGATTTGTGTTTTTCTGAGAAAACGTATAAAAGGTGCGTGTGTTTCCATATAGTTCTAGTAAGTATTCGAGACAACTGCCAAAAAATGGTTGATGTATTGTGAACTGCAAAAAGCAGTTTAAGCTCAACCTAAGTAAATTTAAAAGTAAAATATCTTAAAATCACGTCTTGCTGGTACGTTTTACTCAACTACGAATAGCATAAATCCTTCTTATCCAGCAGTACTCAAAAAATGTAATTCTTTTTATCCATCAATACCTGAAAATTGTAATTTGAACCTATTTCTTAATATACCCCTTAATAAATAAAGATATTGATCTTCGGCTTTCACCATTGTATAGCACCTTCCAATCAACATAAAAAAATGATATCGCTGTATTTGAAATTTTCGAAAAAAAAGTCCAAAAAAAGCGCCGACATATCCAGAAAGCGTCATTTAGAGGATTCAAACTGAACTAATAAGACAGGTTGGAGCATTCATTATGAGTGCAGGTGAATAATTTTTCAAACGAAACTCAAATCATCAAAATCGGTGAAGCCAAACAGAAGTTGTGTGACTTTCTCTGAAATGACGTTCAACCTTTCCCATCTTTTATGTCGGTATGTATTTTATTAAATATGGTCCTTTACAATTTATTGGGACTAGTTTTGAACACAACATCTATCAAGTGGCCACCTTTATTGGCCAAAACACAATGTTCCCATTTTGCTGCGTTTTCCATTACTTTTTCGAGCATCTCTCCCACAAGAAGAAGTTCGGTGGGGTCAAATCTGGAGACCTGGGTGGCCAGTCAGTGTCACCTCTTTATCACATCAGACGTCCAGGGAATTTTCGTTGCAGAAACTGAATTGTTTCATTTGCAGTGTGGCATGGCGCACCGTCTTGCTGAAACCAGTAAGATCAAGACCTTTTACACGCATTTGTGGGCAGATATAATGAACCAACATTCACCAATATCAACTTCCATCAACTGTTTCGCTTTCGTTGAAAAAAAATTGCCCAATGGTGGTTTTGGCGCAAACGCCGGCCCAAACAGTAACTTTCCGGTCATGCAACGGCATTTCTTGGAACTCATGTAGATTTTCCGTTCCCCAAATGCGGCAGTTTTGCTTATTAACGCCACCAGAGAGCGTGAAATGGGCCTCGTCGGTCATCACAATTTGCTTCCAAAAATCAGGTTCAGTATCAACCATGCGAGCGACTGTTTGGGCGTATTCCAAGCGACGTGGATGGTCAGTCGGCAATATTTTCTGTGTTAGCTGCACCTTATAAGGAAACAAATGCAAATCATCCTTCAAAATGCGCCGCAACGTGGTTCCACTGATGCCAAAGTGCTGAGCGCGGTAACGATACGACACTTTTGGGTGCAGGGGGACGCTGCCTCTAACCGCTTCAACCAATTCCTTGGAACGTCTTGGTCGTTGATGAACCGTATGTTGACGATCTCCCACTGTCCCGTACTCAAGAAAATTCGAAACCAAACGACGGATAGTGTTGTCAGTGTTTGCCGCGATATTTTCGACGATATGCACGACGATTTTCAATGTAACGCGTGTTTTTTTTTTCGCGGTATAGAACTTTAAGTTGGCATTACTTTTGAAGATGGCGACCGATTTGACAGCTGTCAAGTGATTTATTCTCAGTTTGGTTTGGCAATTCATCATGAATAGACTCACGCCTAAACAACGCTTGCAAATTGTGCAAGTTTTATTTCGAAAATAATGGTTCTGTGCGGAATACGCATCGCGCACTACATCCATTTTATCGTCGACAAAATCGTTCATCAGAGCAGTTAATTCGATTAACCATGGAACGTTTTCGCACCACGTTTACTCTAATTGATAACTCGCATCCCCAGAGACGCCGTACGGTGCGTACAGAAGAAGCTATTGCTACTGTAGAGCGTAGCATTGAGGAACACCCGAATGAGTCCATCCGCCATCGAGCACAGGAATTGGATCTGTGTCCATCCACTTTATGGAATGATGCAATGATTATGCAATGATTGAAGCCAAACGATCATCAAGTAAGGCGTAGATTCGTTGAATGGGCCCAAAACGAGATTGCCGTTGTTCCCGATTTTCATAAGCGAATTTTGTTTAGCGATGAAGCGCACTTTTGGTTGAATGGCTACGTCAACAAACAAAACTGCCGCATTTAGAATGAAGCTAATCCTCAAGTCCATGTTGAAACACCGTTCTATCCAGAAAAACTGACTGTGTGGTGCGTTTTATAGGCTGGTGGAATCATTGGTCCGTACTTCTTCAAAAACAATGATGGCCAGAACGTTACAGTCAATGGTGATATAGAGCCATGATTACTAACTTTTTCATTACTGAATTGAACAACCATAATGTCCAGGAGCTGTGGTTCCAACAAGACGGCGCAAGATGTCACACAGCTCGTGCTACAATCGATTTATTGAAAGACACGTTTGGTGACCGCCTAATTTCACGTTTTGGACCTGTGAATTGGCCTCTAAGATCTTGTGATTTAACACCGCTAGACTATTTTCTGTTGGGCTATGTAAAGTCATTGGTCTATGCGGATAAGCCACGCACGCTTGACCATTTGGAAGACAACATTCGCCATGTTATTGCCGATATACGGCCACAAATGTTGGAAAAAGTCATCGAAAATTGGACGTCCAGATTGGACTACATCCGAGCCAGCCATGGCAGTCATATGACAGAAATCATATTTAAAATTAAATGCCACAAGATTATGTTTCGAGTAAAAAAATACATGTCAATCGAATAATCCATCGTTGTTTTATTGCAATTTAAAGTTCTGTACCGCTAAAAAAACACCCTTTACATTGACTATTTCGGCGCGTTGTTTCGGTGTAAAGCGATTCATGACTAAAATTGTAGTAAATTGACGTTTCAAGAACACGTATAACCAAATCACTCGGTGGGTAAATATCAAAGTCATTCGATGTTTCAATACCGACATAAAAGATGGCGCACCCGTTATGAAAATGACATAACCAAAAAAAAGGCTAATTAATTAGTATATTCATTACGAATTTTTGCGAAATATTGGCGTTTGTATTATTGAAATGTAATGACGCCACCTAGCAGCCATTTAAGGAAGCTGAAAAAAGTGGCAGCAATTTCTGTCAGCCACTCTTATCTCAAAAAATTTCAACCCATAGCTGAAGGTTGAGCGGTTACCGAGGTTCAGCCAGCGTCCTTTATTGCTGGCCCACTCGACAGAGGCGATCAAACGTATACGTGTAGACCAAAAACATTTGGTTATAGTGAACATACATTTTCTAACAAAGAGCTCGGTTACTACTCACATGTTTCCTGTACCGCTGATTAATGTCCCTTACCTGAAAACAGAAAAATATTGAATTAGTTTTGAAGAACCAAACAAATCCAAACAATTAACATCGAATACAACATTGGACGAACTTCCTCAGTTATGCTTCTGAGTAAAAAGTAAAGTAAAACTTTTCTTTTTATAGAAATAAAAGACAATTCACACTGCGTCTTTGAATCTGGCGATATCTCCCAGTCAATTTCGCCGAAAGGCTGATTTAGGTTTTTACACTTTTATCCCACTTCAACTCTCCGCAATTCGCTTCCGGTGCTCCCGTTGTTCTCTGACGCAAGATTTGCACACTGGGAGCAATCTTTCTCTTGGTAGGCGAACGCCAGCTCCTGTCCGGATTAAAGGCTCAATAAGGCAAAATTGATGGCTGTTCTCTAAAAGGGAGAAATAGCCTGCGGTTTTTATTACCCCAGATTCCGCTCCTCTTTCAGTGTTTATCTCGTACGAATGTCGCTTCACGTCGTCAATAGACCTTGCGCTTTTTGGTATAGATTTTTTTATACTGCGGAGTACAGCGTGTTCCCGGTATGTAGTATTTCAAAAACACCGTTGTAACACATTTAGAGCATTGATTCCCAAAGCGGTCTATATCGATACCTAGGGGTCTATGACAACCTGCAAGGGGTCTACGTCAGCGAAAAAAAATTTGGGGGTCCATGAAATGAATACGGGGGTCCACGATAGTGGATCTCAACACATACACTGATAGTACCTATTTACTTACATCATACTATCTTATAATATCAAAACATATACATTATTTATAAAAGTACCTATGAAGTAAAAAAATTATTATATATGTTTATAAAATTGTGTAAGTTGTAGGATGTTGGTATTCGCTTTGTGGTCGCAATACATTTTGAACTTGTAAAAACCTGAGAGTCGCAGTCTCAGAGCTTCGCTACCTTGCACTGACTTGTTCAATTCGTCACTCTATAAATACGAATGTGGGACAAATACGTTTATTCGTTTCCTGAATCTTGAAAAGGAAAGTGCTAAGAAAATATTTTAAAAAGTATAAACAGATGTATATCACACAACTTATAGTGAGTCAGTGTTATTTTGTTTGAGAGTGCTGGAGAAAAGTAAGTACATTATTTTTTATTAAATTTTAGTTTTGTACTCGTAGTTAGCAAGATAGATAAATTACGCCAATCATGACTTTAGTTATTAGTAGTTAAATATTCAATCATGCAAAATTACACGAGTACTCCTCAATAGTTTCTTTTTGAAAGTTTTAGCAATCGGTAATATAATTACAGTGCAATCTCCGTAATTCGAGCTAATTGTTGCAAGAAGATGTTCGAATTATGGAATTTTTCCGGAAAAATCAAAAAATATTTTTAATATACAGCTGCTGGATTTTCTGTCTTATTTAAATAATTTAATTTTGCCCACAGATGACTGATGCCATGTCCGAATCTAAAAAGAAATGTAGACAGTACAGTGTTGATTATTTGAAATTTGGCTTCATTCCATCAATGCCGGACAAACAATCGCCTATGTGCCTTTATGCAACAAAGTTTTGGGCAATGACGCTACGAAACCATCTAAACTGCAAGATCATCTGAGAAGAAGCCACCCTGATAAAACAGAGAAAGATTTGAAATACTTTCAAACACTCAAAGATAAATTTCAGAAGAGACCTACACTGGACAGAATGTTCGCTTCGACGTCACAAAGAAATGATGATGGTTTGCGGGCGTCTTACAATATCTCGTTACTTATAGCAAAATCCGGAAAACCGCATACTATCGGAGAGAAGTTAATTTTGCCAGCCGTTGAAGAGGTTTTAAAAACTGTTTTACACAAACCTGCACCTGATATCATTAAAAGAATTCCCTTAAGCAACAATACTGTTGAAAAACGTATTGATGAAATGAGTTCTGATATTGAAAGCTTCTTATGTAATTATTTGCAAACGACCCATTTCTCTATACAACTGGACGAGTCAACTTTACCTGATAATGCAGCATTATTATTGGCATATGTTCGTTTTATTATGAATCAAGAAATCTACGAAGAACTGTTCTTCGCAAGAACTTTAGTAACCGACACTAAAGGTGAATCAATATTTCATGTTTTGAAGGATTACTTCATTGAAAAAGCGATTCCTTTATCAAATATAATATCAGTAGCTACAGATGGAGCACCTGCCATGGTTAGACGTTATCGTGGATTTATAAGCTATTTAAAACAAAATGTGTCAGGGGTGTTAGCAATACATTGCGTCATCCATCGACAACACTTAGTTGCTAAAAATTTGAGTGTTAGATTGCATGAATCACTTCATTTAGTCATTGATGCAGTAAACCGAATCCGAAGCAACGCGTTGAATACGCGGTTATTTGCGCAGTTGTGTGAAGAAAATGACGAACCCTTCATCAATTACTCCTTCACACTGAAGTACGCTGGCTGTCGGAAGGCTTATGTTTGACAAGATTTTTTGCACTTTTTGAGACTATTTTAGAATTTCTGGATACTAAAGATAAAATTTTAAAAGAAAATTTAATGAAGAGGAAAACAGACATCGCCTATTTAACAGATTTGTTTACAAAATTTAATATGGTTAATTTGCAATTACAAGTTAACAGTTTAAATTTGATTAAAACAAAGTCCATCTTATCAGCGTTTCTTGCCAGAGTTAAACTAATGAAGCAAAATATTGGAATTTTCTCAGTTCCCCAATTGTCACAGACAAGCTGCCAGGAAGACGACGTTTCAACTTACGTTCAACATTTAAATGCCCTCTATTCAGATTTTGAATCTAGGTTTGAGGATATTTTGACTAAGGTAATACCACCGTGGATAATTAATCCATATGGTGACATAGAAGAAACGAATATCATAATACAAGAGGAACTGACTGAACTAAGTACAAACGAAGAACTTAAGGTTCAGTTTAAAAACGGATATCAGCAATTCTGGCTGCAAAACAACATACCCGTTACTTATCCCGTATTATGGAATATAGCAAGGAAATTTTTAATTTCCTTTCCATCGTCATACCTAGTGGAAAGGGGGTTCAGCGCTGTTACCAATCTTCTAACGAAAAAAAGAAACAGACTGGACATCATTAGCCGAGGAGATTTAAGATTAACCCTTACAAAATTGACGCCAAATGTTGATAATTTATTATTAAAGGATCAGGTGCATCCTTCTCACTAAAAATATTGACTTATTGCTGATGTTATTTTATTTAAAGTTTATTTTATGTTTATTGGTGTCTGACCAATAAATGCCCGCATTGGGAATAAGTGCCCGCATTGATTTTTTTAAAGAACCCCCCTTTATAGAAAATATTTTTTTTAAATTATTCTGAAAATTCAAGGATAGGTACACACTAAAATTCGTTAATTTTTTGCCTATTTTTAGATAACTTAAACGTATAAGAAGCGGAATTTAATCAAACTAACAGTGAAATTATTGTAGAACATACGTTTATGTTATAATTAAGAAACGAACTCGATTATTGTACTATTTTAAGTAAAAAACTTTTTTTAATTATTTTTCAGTTTTTTTTATTTTATCCCTCTTTTTTCAATGTAGGCACTTATTCCCAATGCGGGCACTTATTGGTCAGACACCTGTTTATTTAATGTTACGTAAATTTTACATAACAGATACAAAATTTTATTTTGAGTAGTTTTAATTTAAATTCAATTAATAAATGTATAAATTAACATGTATTTTTACTTTAAGTTATTAACACTAAACTTCACTACAGTTAGTAATTTACAGGAAATCAATATCAGGTAAGTAGGGGGTCTACCCAACACGGAAAAACATGGCAAGGGGTCTACGACACAAAAAAGTTTGGGGAACTCTGATTTAGAGCGTAGAAACGTATTCAGAGAAGCTTGGACAGGAAAATGCTTCATGACATACATATACCCAACACACAATACACGCATAAAATAGCAATAGTATCATAAGATGCTGAAGAGATGAGTAACAAGAATCAAATTCAAGCGAATAACCAAATGAAAATGGAATTTACCATTTTCTATTCGTATTTACCGATCCGTTCAAGCGAGTGTGTTTATCAGTTTGGTTTTAAGATCCGTGACGTGATGAATCAGCTGTTATATGTCATAGTTGTCACCGCAAAATTGTGGTATTTACCCAACTCACGACTAGTTTTATATTTCTGGGTATTATTTGAAATGTGACAAGTTAGAGTTTTGCCGGGTATTGGATATTTGTTAGGAAACTTGATAAGACAGACTTCAGTTGTTGCATAAAATAGAGCATCTTGTTAGTTATACTCATTACTATTGTTTTGGATACTTTAAATCCAGTGCCTATGCTTAACAAAGTATCCTGTGCAGCCATATACCGCATGAATATTAAAATATGGCCATATAAACTCACTGGATAATGTCCACCTGTATACGGTTTTGCTAATATCTTTTTTCATCGATCATTTCTGCTAAATCAATAAATGTTTTCTTTGACATGCGGAAAAGTTTAGAGAATTGAAAGTTATCATAGCTACAAAGCCATGGTTCCATCATTAAAAATTATTCTCTGAAAAAAAAAACATTTGCCCCATTAATATTATGAAAGGTTTCTTTTTTAAACTTTCCATACACTGTTGTAGACGATTATTAAGTGATAATAAAGATAACCAGAAATTATATACGCGCTTTTCTAAATTAAACAACTTGCAACATAACCGTGGTTCAAACCGACGCGTTCCAGCGATTCGACTAACTGACGTCATCAACCCGTGTGACATCTTAAACCATATTATAACCGCGGCACATAGCACAGAAATGTTGGTTACTCGCTTGGATTTGATTAAGAACGAAATCGAGGTCACATGTATTACAACAGTAGGAGCTTGCGGGGATTATATACAGACCATTCTTGACAAGGTACCCATAACAATCTCTAGTTACTGTAAAAGGGGTTCAATTTCTCCTATAATGTGCGTTTGTATACATAATATGCTACCTATAAGGTGGTTGACACAGTGTTTGCTTTAATGGACACCTACTTGAAGTGTCCATAGTTTCAATTGTCATGGTACAAGGGTTCAACTTTAGTACCAGTGTTCGAATTATTAGCTAGTTAAGGATTCGATGTGTAGTGGTTTACCCTTGTAAATTTATTATATTTAAAAGTATTCCCAGAGACATCTAAATATCTCGGAAAATGTTCCGCTCTATACATTTCCGGTGTCAAAATAGCAGTTTCCATTTAAGAAAACATTGTCAACCTTTAAATGAATTTAAATATCATATTCAGGACCACATTTATCATCACTAGATAACCCTTTTCAACCTTCATATCTTCTGCAACATTTTTCTCTGTGAAGCATATTTTAGTGATATGTTTTCCTTCCCATGCTTCTTTGATATCCTCAAAGCATTTTGAAGTTCACAATACTTTGAACGTAAGTTTGTAGTATCAAAATGCGGGCAAGAAATTTTGTTTGCCTTCAAATGACCTTGAAACACTTGGTCAAGGTCACGTTCACATGTTTTTCTAGAAAACAGATATGATGATATTTCCATACCTTTTAGACACACTATAGAATCTGGATATTACTGGCTAACAGGTGATTGCTATCACGAGTTATTGCAAACGTCGCGTTCCTCAAGTTTTGTAGTGGTTGTTTGCGTAGATTTGTTGTTGTTACTACGTTGCCGTGCCTTAGTAACTTGAACCGAAAATCAAGTACATTGCTAGCTTACTTCATTTCACTTAAGAGAGCGGTATACAGGGTGACTTTGAAGTTGAGTCATTAATTTTCAGATAATGATTGTAGAAGGAAGATAAACCAAAATATGTGTGTTAAAATAAAAAAAAATAAACAAAAAATTTACGTTGTTTTATAAAGTATCCTCCCGACAAGTATTTCAGTGCGGACCTGTATTTGATCGTGAGGTCTTGGAGCACCGGCATGCCCTCCCCTGTGAGGTCTTAAGTCACCTGATTCACGAGCCCGTTGTACTACATTAACAAAGGCACGAGGGGTTGGTTGCACTCGATTGGGAAACCGATCCGCATAAACATGTGCCATTTTTTATTTCGTTTGAGCCACGCAGCAAACACCACTATTCACTCACGCGTTACCGACTGACACATTGACTGAATAAAAACATCGTGATCAGCGTTTCAAATTCTTTCGCGTTTTTGTTTCCGATGCGATGAACCGATAAGGCGGATTATATCCGTTGTTGCCAAACACGAGCACATAACATTATTATTGAGACAGGGCTATAACTTTGTTACTTTAATTTTACCACAAAAATGTTAAAGGATAAAAACATTTCTTTTGATCAGATCTACTCACTGTTAAAATAAATGACTCAACTTCGATGTCACCCTGTATATTGGTTACCGATACCTGCTGGGCTCAAAAGCTTGCTCTCATGTCATGTGAAGATTAAATTACTACGAAACCATTTTTATATTTTTTGGTCGATGTTTCCTTCAACATGCAAATAAGCGCGTGCGGTTTTTATCGCAGATTTCTCTCTGTTTCTATGCCGCTTCACATTGTGGTGTTAATTTTTGTTATTTTGGGATGGCTTGAACAAAAAAATACAGAGTAACATTGTAACATTTCCAATTTTTGTTTCCATTTTTGTAGCAGCTTTACAACAATAGCCAACTGTACTGATTCTCATGAACGGGTTATTTATTTTACAAATTCGTGCATCGGCAACGGAGTAATTAGCAGTAAACTAAAACTAGATAGAAAATTGCAATGTTTTCAGTAAATGAAATTTCATTTTTACTAACGACGTAGGACGGGGAAAATAAGATGTGGATATGCATTTACAATTTCTGATCACTTTTGGGTGAATAGACGGTTTCAGAAATCTATAGTTTGTGTCATTTTCCATCATCATATTCTTCCATTCGTCATCAAATTTGAAACCAGATAATTCAGATTCGGTATTACATGTAACATGACGAGACAAGCCTAACCCTTGTTTGCACGTATTATTCACACTCCACGTGTGTTGGATACATTTAATTTCAAAACACCCTGCGGTTAATTTAAGAGAACTAGCTAAGTTGGGGTGCAAATCGTGTCTCGCACAGTTAGAACAGTTTGTAGATTTCAACACTCCAAAGCGTTGGGTATTTTACTTAATTTACATAACGATTGAGCTACAAGATAAAACCGTCTCATATTCACTTTATCTCGTTGCCTATTGAAACTTGTATTTACTATTTATCCGTTTCTTGAACAATAGTCAATAACAATGATATACATGAAGATACAAAAGAAAGCATCAGCACATGATATGCTGAAGAGGAAGCAGGAATGCTGAAAATAACCTCAAAATATAATAAAAAAAGGATTCCATTCTTACCTACCCTCCGTACAAAAAACCGAGTGCATTCAAACAAGTACTTATGAAAATAAGTATTGGTGTCTCCCAAAGTCGAACAAAGTGAAAATATATCCAAAAAGCTGTTAAGTAAATCGAAATTACGACTCATCATGTACATAGGAGAAATATTAAGCATGCCAGTGCTAGGACTCAGTAAGTAAAAAGTTGCACTATTTCGTGACGCTAAATCTAGAAACGAAGAAATTAAGTTGTATTAAATATCAAAATATCCAACCTCGGAACCCGGTATTCCGCTAAGTATTTTCGAGAAATCTTTTATTGTATTGTTAAAGCCTTAACTGAAAAATTTACCAGTTAAGATAGGACGCTTTCAATTATAACAATTTCAATAGCAATAAGAAATATTAAAAATGGCGTAAAGTACATTGACTCTGCAGTTCCTTCGCAACGCCGTCATCATCAGGTTAGAGGGTTAAGTTCAGCACAGGTTAAACCCTTTAAGAATAAAACTGGTTAGGGACATGTGCAATAGAGCAATTAAACGGATTCTGTCAAT